TGGGGGGGGGGGGCGGGGGGCTGGCCAGGTGGGGGGCTATGGGGTGTCCCCTGGGAGGGGTTGTGGGGTGGTCCCGGGGGGTCCCAGAGGGGTCCGAGGCGTTCCCGGGGGGGTCCTGGGGGTCCCTCACTGTCAAAGTAGCTGGTGTCCTCCTCGGACTCCAGGTGCGGCACAAACTCAGCTTTCTGCCGCAGCAGCCCCGTCCAGTCCAGCGCCGCGAAGAAGTCATGAGCCTTCACCTCCTGCGCCCCCCCTGCGGGGACGGGGACGGGGTCAGCGGGGGCAGCAGCCCCGGGGGGAGCCGGGGAGCGTGGGGGTCTCACCGGAGCCGAGGCGCCGCAGGGGGTCTGGCTGCAGGAGGCAGGAGATGAGGTGCTGGGCGTCGGGGGGCAGCGCCTCGTCCCCCTCCGGCCACAGGATCTCGTCTGGCACAGAGGGGACGGGGGGGACACGTGAGCACGGCATCGCGGCTGTCAGCCCCATCACGTCCCCTGTCCACCCCTGTCCCCATCCCCATGTGCCCAAGGTGACCTACTCCATCCCCCGTGCCCCTCCGTGTCCCCATACCCAAGATGACCTGCTCTGTGTCCCCACGTCCCCCGTGTCCCTCCCATGTCCTCATCCCTGTACTAGAGACGACCTGCCCCATCCCCATGTCCCCATGTCCCCCCATCCCCAAGATGACCTGCCCCGTGTCCGCCCCATGTCCCCCCCATGTCCCTCCAAGTCCCTCCATGTCCTGTCCCCGTACCTGAGATGACCTGCCCTGTCCCCCCGTGTCCCCCCGTCGTGTCCCTGTCCCCATACCCGAGATGACCTGCCCTGTCCCCCCGTGTCCCCCCACCGTGTCCCTGTCCCCGTACCCGAGATGACCTGCCCGAAGAGCTCCTCGGGGGTGTCCCCGAAGAAGGGGACGCAGCCCACCAGGAACTCGTAGAGGACGATGCCCATCGCCCACCAGTCCACTGGCTTCCCGTAGCCCTGCCGCAGGATCACCTCCGGCGCGATGTACTCTGGGGTGCCGCACCCC